AAAATTTCAAAACTAATCTTACCATAACAGGAGTAAAATTAAATTTACTGAAAGCAATAGATCAATCAATCTCGCTAAAATGGGTTTTCATTGAAATTATAGGTTACGTTTTAATCTCTGATGTCTGGTAACCGTAAATTGTGCAATGTAAGAGTATTCTTTCGAGTATATTTAATCATCTTTTTACTACAATAATTAAATTATGCATTACCAAATCCTTCCTATATTTTAACTCTTTGTCGATTTTCTTGAGTTGCTTAAATTCCTGCTCGGCTTTTTTAAGGAGGTCTTTCTGATACTTTTGAGAACATCTTTGTAGAACAGACTCAATGCAGTTTGTTGAGAAAAGCTTTGCTGACACCATAGAAGAACTAGCCGTTGATGTACGTGAACTCTTTGTTTCATCATATGTCGTCGGCGTATGATGATCCTTATTTATCAATTTATGTGCACCCAATTAGTTAGTTTTATTAAATTTTGAATTCATCTTTTGATTTTACCTCATAGATATACATGTAACTCTTCAAGTATGGTAATCAATGGCAAACATTGATAAACAACTGTATCAAATTCTTTAAAATTAATTACCTTTTTTAAACGATGATACGTTTGCATTATGTAGAAAAATTCTCTGATTGCTTCCTCTGCGATATCACGTCTGTTTCCCCAAGCTTCACTAATGATACGATAAAGTTCCGGTGCTGTTTTCATGTGTGCTGACGATATGTGTTGAGGTTCAATTTTTGTTTTCTTGTTTTTATCTAGATTTGTCTGTAGCTATACGGAAATTGAAAGCAAACATTTTAAAATATCTTTGGATTTCGTGTTTAATAACATGTACCACTATTTGTTTGATATTCTTACCTCAGTTCCAAAAGAACTAAACTGATTGCTCATTATAGAATCATATTGCTTCCGAGCCTCTTTTAATGTTTTTCTGTCATATCCCATCATTTCAGAGTCCTGTAGGATTTCAGTAATGGCACTTTTACTTTCTTTTGAGTCCATCACTTCCTCTATTCTTACTCTCTGACCAGATGATAAGTTTTGATTAGTAATGTACATAGATCAACTTATATATTTACATTAATATTTTTGATTTTAAAGACATTAAAAATTTATTGAAGAGGATCAAAGTTGCTTCAATTCAATTTTTTTATATTATCAATTAGGTTTTACATTATTACCAAGTAGTAATATATAATAATTTCATCCAAAATCACATTTCCTCCAATTTGTTTTGCAATAGCACTTCTTTAAAATATATGTAGTTACATTGTTTTATCTTTTTTGGATGTTTGAAAAATGTTAATTAACATACGGCGCTAGATATTCCTTGATGCCGTTTATAGACCTCGATAAGGAAAAGGTAATTTGGCCAAACATCCGTGAGATTGACTCTGTCTCCTACTTTATATAGAGTGTCAAATAATGCCCCACCAAGCTTCTTATCATCATCTGTCAAATAACGGAATCTAGTGTCCTTCGTTTGTGTCCTCAACTGAAAAGTCAGAATACTCATAAATAGTACATATGCATGTACTCCTGTAAACTAAATATTATATTGACAAGCATCCTTGGAACTGTAATGTGCACAATACAAAATACACACATGGGTATCTGTTCAATAAACATGTACTTGCTTGTTCTTTGACAGTGATTCCCAGATTTTTGGCTAAGTCAGACAGGAAGGAATAGTGATTCCTGGCTTCTTTCAGAGTAGTGGCACTTACACATCCACTGCAGAATTCCAGTGCTCTACTGATAGATTTTGCCTAAAATTGAATCGGTGTTTGAATCAGTATTCACAAGACTAAAATACAAAGGCATTACACAAAATGCTGTTTATAAAAGAATTCAACCTTGAGCTTTTCATTTAAATTTCTATTTCAAGTTTGTAAAATTTGAAGAATTCAAAGTGAAAGTAGGAAATGTACTAGTAAATATATGTTGCAAAAAGATGCAGGAAATATTTTGATATCATCGTCGAAAACTCTTGTGATAAAACTAAGTTTTTCCTTCCATCCTGTATCTTACATGTAGATAAATATCAGAATAAAATATCGTTTTAAAAAAAATCAGTTTTATAAACTCAAGCAAACTATATATACTAACCTTCGCTTTTGTTCTTTTGCTTTCACTTGCAGACATATTTAGACAAGTTTATTCACAATTTCAGAAAGAGAAAAAGACACTTTTTATCAAACCATTTTATCGCACGAGCAAAAATTGTGTTGTTTAGAATCAAGGACCATGTAAAGTTACTGTTATAGTTGGAATTTAAACGGTGTGTATCCTACTTGCATTTAAATTATTTATTGATCTATAAATAATCTTAAATATGTCTTCTGTTAAGTACAAAAATTACCGTTTCTTTATACAGTTTGATTAAGACGTGTCACCATCTATATGTGTGTGTGCTTTTTTTTAAAATTGCAGAACATTTTTATACATAGCACAACACATAAATATACACACATACTATGTACGGACGAGGAATAAACAGATATATACACCTGTATATATATCACATGTTAGCAATTATATTGGCGTAAGTAATTGTAAAGCCTTCTATGCTAAAGTATGTTTTTTTAAAAAAAAAAAACAAAAAAAAAACAATAACAAAACAAAACAAACAAACAAAAAGCGTTTCCAATTTGACCATCTTTTTTTCTTCAAATAATTCATTACTATATATCGTTATGTCCTAAAACATGATAATTCTACAACTGTAGATACTAATCTTTACACAACCGCTACGTTGTCACAAATTAAAGGAATGAGGAATAACTACTTAAAAAAGAGACTACATTCGATTTTTAATGAAATATTAATAGAATGCTTTAGAATTGTTCGCATTTAGATTTCAGCACTTGTTTTTGATTAAAACCGAAAGTAGAAAGGTAAATATAAGTGTTTCATTTACGTAATTTGATATACAATAATACAGGTATTAGAATAAAATCGCCGATAGTTTTAATCGCAGTACTTACTTTTCCTTGTGTTATAAAACGATCTTTTAATCTTTTTACGTAATATTGTATCTCAAACAAACAAATTTTACAAAAGTTGATTTGTTAAGATTTGTCGTTCTTGAAAATTAATAACGACAACTCTTGTAGCCTAAAATAAATTGCATGTTGAAAAAAATCGCAATCTACATTTCTTTTACAGTTGTTAATGTATATACAAAAACATCAATCTTTGCCAGTATTTTTGTATCAGATAAATATTTCAAATAAGTTCAGTTTTCATATTGATAAAATTAAAGTTGATTGAATATCCAGAAAATGAGATGAAGGAGGGTCTTATATAGGATATGGCAAGTCAAACGGTGCAATATTCGATCTTTTCCATTTGCATTGTATAATTTTCCATTTGTATTATATAATTTTTCATTTGTATTGTATATTTTTCATTTGTATTGTATATTTTTTATTGTATTGTATAAATTTTATTTGTATTCTATAATGTTCCATTTGTATTGTGTAAAATTTATTTGTATTCTATAATTTTCTATTTGTATTGTATAATTATCCATTTGCATTGTATAATTTCTTATTTGTATTAATAAAGTTCTTATTTATATGTGATAATTTTTCATTTGTATTGTATCCGAGGATTGTTTACTTGTTTCGTTACGAAGGATTTCATTGGTCAATATAGAATACAAACAAAAAAATATACATTGCAGATGATTTTTTTACTATACAAATGGAAAATATAGAATACAAATAGATATTATACAATCCAAATGGTAAATTATAGAATCCAAATGGAAAATTATAGAATCCAAATGAAAAATTATACAATACAAATGAAAAATCATACAAAAAAAAGATGAGGGTAGGAGGAGGCCGGTATACCTCTATTAGTCTATTCTGGCGGATTATTTGAGTTTTTTTTTTAAGTCAGAGAACCCAACTAGGTATATGAATACAATTTAACACATTAAGTCAATACAATTCACAAAGTTGAGATTCACATGAAATATTTGAACAGAGATCAATGATTTCGTGCACATAATCTTTCCAAAGAAAAAGGGAGACATTTGTCTATACCTACAAATGAAAGATTTTGCAATATTTGCAACACAGGAATAATGAATTTCATTTTCTATTCAGCTGCCAAAGATACAGTTATCAATGGTTATTTTTTTTAAAGAAACTTGATTTTTTTTCAAGGAAAAATATCAATTATGTATAATTATACTAAAACGGTTCAGCTTTGCTTGAATAGCAAATGTCTAGAAATACTGAATATAACTCACTCATTTATTAACAAATGTAATTTAAATAGAAATGATTTGTTACATAATTATTGCACAAATGATTGTGTGATTTATGCATATCTTATGTCAAAAGTTTTAAAATGTATTAATGTATGACATATTGATGATACTTGTATGTTGGACCTTTGCCAATGATTGTAACTGTGTTTGTGTCAATAAAATATGTGTAGAATGCAAATTCTAAAATATAACGGAATATACCCTTTGTTGTAGTTTTTAGATAAACAAAGATCACAAATTCGGTCCTCCTTAATCACACTTCTAACAGGAGTCCTTCTCCTCTCATACATTACATTGTTTATCATTCCTCATTGGACATAACGAATTAACTACAATTAATATGTATTGTTTACGGCATAAAACTAAGTCTTATTTTATCCCGACATTTTCTTCGACACAAAGGTAAACTACAACCTTTAAATTGATTGTAAGAATATCTTGTACACTTGATGTTCAATACATTTCATTGCTATGAGATATGGTTAAATAAATTACAGTGTCTTAAGCCCCGATGGAAAATTGAAGGTTATGTAAAGGAAATTGACCAAAACTTTTTAGATTATCATTTATTTTCATTTATTAACATCACTCTGTCAGTAAACAAATTAGACAATGCTAAAAAAAAAGTTAAGTACATGTAAGACAAGTAATTTTAAAATGGCGTTTATAATTTTTGGTATAAGTTTTATATAATTTTAGATTTAATTCCCTGTTGACATATTTTGTTTACTTCTGGGGTAAAACATGACCTTTACATACAACGCTACCATCTTCACTTAAAAGGAGTGCAGGCCACACACATATGTCAACTGTGTCTCCGGAAGTCTTGTACATCTTAAACAGTTTTTTATCTATGGTTTCTCCTTTTTCCGGAATAATAAGAACCATCGGCGGGTCCTGAATACACATAAACCAACAGATTTCTACACAAGCTTTCAGATATGCTTCATTGTCTTTTAAAATGGCGTCGTCGTTTGTTTCTAAAAATATAAACGATTCCTTGAACATCTGCAAAACAGAAATGAAGCTGTATAAACATCATTTCTCCTCATCAATATCATCATTACTGTCATCATTACGAAATCGATCGATCTTTTACCTTGTGGATATTGGGAAGAGACATTGAACAACACTGTTTCCTTAGTTCTAACAAGTGACAAAGAGCATCTTTTTTCATCTCAACGATATCTTTGCTTTCGCTGGTCTCCTTGAAGAAGATTATATCAATTTTTAATACATGAAATATATTTTAACAAATTTATTAATCACAAAATAAAATTATTGTAACTTGACAAAATATAGACTGGTTATGAAGCTAGTACAAGGGTTGTTCCAAAAGCAATGTCGCAAATACTATAAAATCTTTAATGATCAGATATTATCAAAGAAGACAAACTAATAAACCTATCAATTTTGATTTTAGCCTGAAAATAGCATTCGATTATATAAAATACTGTTAAAAATATTCAGAAAAACACAACGTTAAGTTTTGTCTTTCGCCGTACGGCACTTTTCGGCACTCATTTTTAGTTCATCTACATCTCTTTTAAACCTAACCCGTGCTTCTTTTGCCATAAGTCTTTTGTTTTAAGTTTACTATTAGATTCAAAATAAGTGTCGAAGAGAAACGTCATAACGAAATCGCTGCATTCTTGCTGTGCGGCAATAGACGAGATCCAACGTTGTGTTTGTTTTGATATTTTAAAAAGCATTGCTTATATTTGAATGAAATTTTAAGGCAAACGTCAAAATAGATTGAGGCAGTAGTATATATAGTTTTGATGAAATCTTTCGATTAATCAAGATTTTATACACAGTTGTTACATTACTTTTGGATAAACCCACGTATGTAGTAATTCTTGAAATCGATGTTATTCTTAGACGCACTTCTTTCTGGTTTTGGCAATATGACATAATCTTTATAGTCCAGGTTTGTAATTCTTCAAGCTGTTTTGCGCTTTTCTCTTTACAAAATTTGTATGCCATCTAGTAAAATAAAGTGTTATATATATAGGAAACAATAATTTGATATATGATACATGAAAAGACTAAAAATCCAAACAACGCAAAGACAAATTGAGAACCGATATATTCAGACTGAGGATACGCACCTGCACACAGTTACAAAGTTTTATTATTCTTTCTTTTTCATCTTCAAGCTCCGATTGTAAACTTTCAAATAACTGGGTCCATTCGTTGTCATATAACTCTGAAAATCTCTCCCCGATTTTAGTGGGACGATTGGAATCACTGAGATCTGTGTGGTTCGGATTACCCGTCGCCACTTTCTGACTGGCAACTTGACTTAGCCTAAATCAACATATACAAGGGGTGTACATTATGTTTTGTTTCATGTTTGAAGTCTTTTTTATATTCTGAACTCAAAGATTGCCTTTTGATAATGGTTACATGATCATAACGTTACATTAGAAATAAGAGATAACCTTGTTGTAAGTTCCTCGATTTCTTGTGATTTTAATTCATTTTGCATTCTCAGTTCTTCAAACTTCTCACGTAACTCGTCAATTTCATTTTCATGTCGTCTTGTCTGCAGCGGATAAAATAACTTGATTTCATTAAACCATGAAACAATCATACTGAATTCAGAACAAATCAAATAAATCTATCAATAATCAGAAAATAGAATGTCTACTTTAATTTGAATTCTAACCTTTTGTTCTTCACTCCGCCCCAGAAGCTCTGATGAATGCAGAAGAGATCCATACTGGCACCAGGTAGCTTGACTTCCTTCTAAGTTCCTCTGCAACGCTTCTTTTATTGTTATATACAGAGCTCTATCCATGTATTCAATATTATCTAGAAATTTCTGAGCAGCAACATCGCCATTTAAAACCCATAACTCTTTCTCTCTAGCCTAAAACACAAATTGACAAAGAAAAATTTATTAATTCTTTTCCGTTTGTAGTTACAATTTTTTTTATTTATCTGATTAAAACTTACCTAGAATATGACAATTAAATATTAATGAATGTTAATCTAAAAGTACCATATATTCATGTTTAAAGTCATATACATGTATAAAGCTGTCCAGAGTGGTACACAGTAGCAAAACTATTGTGTCGTTTTTAATCGTTGAAAATTATAATAACTTTATAAACTGGCTCACCAAATCCGGATCACGTTTCATTTGTTCTTGTCTCTGGATGAGATCAAAGTACTCAGTTTCTGCTGCTTTCCATGTTTCTGTATCCATACATGATTTCATATTTTGCAAAATATGGGGAATAAAATCGTCTGTTTGTTTGATATGAGGGCCCTTGAGCAAAAAGTATAAAACTGAAAATATTATCAACGTGATTCTTGTATTAAAGATGGCAAAATGATAAATTAACAAATTCTTGGCATGCTTTGCTCCTGTTATACCGATTTTTTCGAAGATTTGTTCTGTTTATTGTACACCTCCACTAGAAAAACATAGGTCGGCCAGACTTTGGTCAAATCGAGCATGGTTTCTGCACTACACAGAAAATCATATAAAGGAAGGCATGCTTGCTTTTGATCATCACTGAGGCATGCTGGGTAATTTTCGCCATTTTCTTCGTAATAGGACTTCAGATACTCATGCTTATCATGAAGATATGAAATAAAATTTAACAAACATGAAATTCATTCGACATAATCCTGCTTTTTTTAAAGATACAAAGCAAAGCAGTGCATTTATTTGTTTTCATATATAGCAATTTTGTCAATGAACAACCAATCTGATCAAAAATACCGTTTCAATAACAAAAAAAAAAAAAAAATACCGTTTCAAAATCTCTCTTTGCCAGGTAATTTGCATGATCACAAAGTATTTTGTACTTTTTATACGCCTTGTTATGGTGCTCTGCATCAATATGTTTCCCAAATCTCTTGAAAACCTCAGCAATTGTCTGTACAGACCACTTTCATCAGGATAGAAAAAAATGCTTCAATTGATTTTGCATTCACATTATATTTTCATTTACCAAAAGATATTAAGAAAATAATAAATTAAAGCTTAGTGGTTGTTAATGAGATCCTAACTCTCATATTATTATTAGTTCCTGTATAATGATAATATATACACCATGAGCTCAATCGATTATCATATGACATAATTGAAAAAAACGGCATGTTTTATATACAAGTTTAGTTCGGTATTATATAAATCATAACATATTTAAAACATGTATTATATAATATTTAACATTTCTATCAGTTAAAACACTTTAAAAACGACTTATTATTTTGTAAGTACAGTGTACACATATACTTACCTGTTCTCTACCCGCCATGTTAAATCATTATCGTACTGTCATATATGTTATCTCATGTGTTATCTCAGGAGATAAGTACACATATTGTATATACATCAACTTATATATCACAGTAGCGTTTTAATTTTCCTTGAACAGAAATTTTGATCATATTGAAGTAGATTTATTCAGTACCCTATAATGTAACTTTAATTTTTGGTCCGTTCGTTTTACGAAATGCTGCAATAACACTTCACTGTGTCACAACCAGTTATTCTGAATCTCCATCTTTAAATGGATTTCAAATAAGCAAGAGCACACCAACATTTCATATTGGCTTCTTTAACCAAGATAGCCCTAGAAAATAACAAAAACACAAATAAGAAAGCTAAAGAATAACTTGTGCCCCCCCCCCTAGTTTTGCCGATATAGAGAATATTATATGAAACATAGCTACTATATGCTTGTGTCCCCTCAATAATTCTGATGACCTTTTTTTGTCAAGAAATTTTGGTAGTTTATAGTGCTCCCCCCAAACTGAAAATGTATGGTTGTGCCCCATCAAAGTGAAACTGTTTCCTACGGGCCTGCGTCCCAAGTATTAAATAGTACCTCGATGATCTGCCAAAATGAAATATAAGTTCAAAGAATAAGAAAAATTAATCGTTGATGTTTACAAACATACACTGTGCCTGAATTTTGTGCCATCATAGACATGAAAAGTTCAGTTCAGTAAGGGATGTTCCTCCTATGTATAAGGAGCACCCGAGAAGGTGGTATAAAAAAGAGGATACAAATTATGATTTAGAAGAGGCCTAGGGGCCACATCGCTCACCTAAGTACTTTGATCTCCTATTGTGGCCCCACTCTACCACCGAGGGCCATGATTTAAACAAACTTGATTCTACACTACCTGAGGATGCTTCCATATTAATATGATCAATCACAACTTTTCTGTTCTCAAGAAGAAGATTTTAAAGATTTTTCCTATGTATTCCAATGTAAAACTTTGATCCCCCATTGTGGCCCCACCCTACCCCCAGGGGTCTTGATTTGAACAAAAGTGAATCTACACTACCTGACGATGCTTCCATATAAATATGTCCAATCATGGCTCTTATGTTCTTCAGGAGATTTTTAAAGAATTTCTTATGTATTCCTTTGTAAAACATTGATTCCCCGTTGTGGCCCCACCCTATACCTAGGATCATGATTGGAACAAGCTTGATTCTAGTCTAACTGAGGATACGTCCATATAAATATGACCAATCATGGCTTTTATGTTCTTGAGAAGAAAATTTTTAAAGATTTTCCCTATGTATTTATATGTAAAACTTTGACCGCCCATTGTAGCCCCACCCTACCATCAGGGGTCATGATTTTGAACAAACTTGGATCTACAATACCTGAGAATGCTTCCGTATAAATATGACCAATCATGGCTTTGTTGTTCTTGAGAAGAAGGTTTTAAAGATTTTTCTTATGTATTCCTATACAAAACGTTGATCCCCCATTGTGGCCCCATCCTACCACCAGAGGTCATGATTTGAACAAACTTGAATCTACACTACCTCACAATGATTCCACATAAGTTTCATACTTTCAAGCACAGAGGTTCTTGGTAAGAAGATTTTTAAATGATGCTTCTAATTTTTTGCAAAATCATAATTATCTCCCCTTGTAAGAAGGCATGGCCCTCCATTTGAAGAAACTTGAATCCCCTTTACCCAAGGATACTTTGTGGCAAGTTTGGTTTAAATTGGCCCAGTGGTTCTTGAGAAGAAAATGAAAATGTGACGAGTTTATGACGACGACAACGACAGACAACGGACAAATTTCGATCAGAAAAGCTCACTTGAGCCTTCGGCTCAGGCGAGCTAAAAAGAGTAGCGTGTTTAAAAAGAGTTAGTAAAACCTTATCTAATATTGTGCAATAAAAACTCTGGGTTTAGAGAAGGTGCCAAATTTCTAATATTTTATAGATCTAGGAAGTGTTCACAATTTGCCTAAACATTTAGAGTAAAAATATACTTGCTGATTACATTTTTAATGAATGAAACTAAGGTGCAGCCTAATAAAACATTGATACTAATATTATATGACTTGAAAGTCGTTTTTTATTTCATAAAAAAATAAATTGCAACTATCTGTTTTCTTTGTGAGACATGATGCTCTGCAAATTGATAGTTGAAAAAAAATATCATATTTAATTATACAAAATCAAATTAATCTTGATAATTTATATCAAATTCATTTTAAAAATAAATGGCTTGTCATCCAGTAACTATGTATTTTGACAGACTATAAATTAAGAGAGCTAGAGAACAGAGATCTTTATTTCTTTCTGCCCAATTCCAAGGAGATATAGATAACACCTGCTTGATCAGAGATGCCCTAACAGCTTCCCACACAGAACTCATTATTATTTAATCTTTAACTGGATGTATGTCCACTCATTACTCCCAAGGGACAACTGGATTTACGCTTGCTTTGTAATGCACTGTGTTCAATGGAAAAGGCATATCTATATCATTCTGTTGAAAACAAAGATTTTTTTCTTTTGTTACAAAGCTTTATATAATGAAAAAAAAGAACTGTGTTATCTTGATGCAACTTTTTTTAATAAGGTTACTGCATGAATCTTGGATTTGTAGGGACTATCTATCAAAAAACCTTTTTTTAGACTCGGTGATTTTATTCTTAGTTTTAATGAGTAGTTTTAAACTGCAGTTCACATTTTGTACAGATGTACCAATTGGCAGTTCTGGATTCTATTTCTCAGACCTATATGTACATAAAGCCAAAATGACTAAGTCAGAATAAATGAAAAAAAAAACAAATGTAAAATGCAGAAAAATTACCCAATAATGATGAAAATAGCAGGTGCACACCTCCATATGGTGAATAATAAGTGTACAAATTTTCAGACAAATCCATGCAAGTCTCCGAGAACAGGTCCGGACAAAATCTCGTCTACAAACAGACGGACATGGTGATTCCAATATCCCCCTAAACTTCGTTTGCGGGGGTACACTAAAATTAGGAGTGATAGACAAAGTCAACCCTCAACTTAGAGAGTGGACCCTCGAGAATCGTCAAAGGTATAAGCAACCAATAAAGAATCATACTAGGTGTTATCAAAATGAAAAAAGAACTGCGCGTGAGTGATGAAACACAGCTGATAATGGAAGATATAGATCTAACAGCGATATTTCCTTCTATAAAGCACACTACTGTATACAGGGAAATTTTCGCCCCTTTCGCCCTACTATCAATGGCGAATTTAAAACGGGGCGAATTCAAAGAACATTGTAGAATTTCTTAAATAGAACTGGGCAAATTTAAAACTGGGCAAATTTGTTTGCAAGTATCAGAGGGCGAAAATAACACGAGGCGAAAATAACCCTGTATACAGTATTCCCTTTCTACACCTTACAGAGTTGAAAAACTTTCAACGATTGATTACTTCAATATTTTCATTACGAGAACAATACAGTAAAATTATTTATTTTTTAAAAGTGTGGTTAAAAAAAACCTGAAACAAAGAATATTATTATGAATAATAAGGATGACAATTGTAAAAACTAAAAAAAAAATCCTTGAATTGATTCTTACAGTTTTAAAAAAATCCACCGAGTATATTTCATACTCTATTTGGATTGAACACATTCTGTAGTCATGAAATGAATCACTCGGACGGAAATTGCGCTAAAAATATTACTATGCAAATTAAATGATATGATTGGTTCACCTTTTATATAAATAAACATCAATTCATATCTTTGTTGATTTTTTTAAATACATGTACTTGAAAAAAAAAATGCAACTACAAACCAAGTGCGTGCAATTTAAAGTAGTAAAAGCTACACGTACTTAGCAGAATATCTGATTTAAAAAAATGGTTTCTTTCTTGCATCAAACATTAAAACCATATGAAATTACGTTAATATTAAATGGGGGGAAAATTGACAAAGTTTTTAATATGGACTTCATATACATTGTTGATTGGCAGTAGTAAAAAGCATTACTGAGGAAGAATAAAGCCTTTTGATACAATTGGTCCACCATTATACAGGTGTAAAGCAGGCCAAACACAAACGAGTGCGACATTGCCTTTCTTGCTGTAGTGTTTGAATGACTTTTCATCTATTTTTTCTCCGTTCTTAGCAAAGTTTAGGGTCATTGGCGGATCCTGTACGACCATGTTCCACGTGAGTTCTACCAGAATGTCCAGATAATCAGTAAGTCTTTTATCACGTGTGTAGCTCTCCTTCTGTTTTCTAAACGCCTAAATGAAGTAATTAAAAGTCATTCTTCATTTAGTCTTAATTTGTGTTTCATCTTAGCAAATACATAAAAACAAAGCGAAAAAGCAAGAAAGTACATGTATAACATTGGAAAGGTTTGTGACGTTACGAAACACAATTATTTGTGTTATCGATATCTGTTTTACTGAGGTATTTCATTACACATAAATATGTTTTACTAATAGGCATGCATACAACTCTACTTCAGAATGAATAAAGAATAATAATCCAGATGTTCTTACTATTTGAAGAGATTTGACTGACTGTTCTCCATATTTTTTCAAAAGGTCATTAAAAATAACATTTGATCCTGTTAAATTGACATCTTTTGGTTCTTCTGCAGTTGACAATGATGACTGAAAGGTTGAAATTAAACTTTACACAATGTAGAGTATAACTTCAATTTAGTAAGATTGAAAAAATATTTTTCTATACCATGTATACACTTTTATAATTGTTTTATTACTTTTGCGCGACATACTGTCAAATAAGACCTACTTGCAACGGGTTCCTGATCACCTCGGCTGTTCTTTTCACTAATTCGTTTCTCATTTTATCTTTAGTCTCATCAGAAAATTTGTAACATTCCTACAATATTGAGATGTATTGTAACTTGTATTGCACATACAGTAATGTCACGTAGAAGCATCACATTTCTCTAGATTATCTTTAGACCATTAAAACTTTTTTTCAAACTTGCTGATGTATATTTTTTCACATTGATGTTTTTATAAGATTTCTATCCTAATACTTTTGGTGAAAATAAACCTCTTCCAAGAGAGACAGAAAGATAAACGATGAATAAAATGATAATGCAACAGAAAAATTAAATTATTTTATTTGAATTTTTTTTTCTCAGTCAACAAAAGTGTGCCATTGATTTTTTGCATTGCTGTTAGAGGGATAAATATTCATCCTTCCTATTGGTACCAGTAAGTAATTATACCTGATAAATAGTCACCCTTCCTATTGGTACCAGTAAGTAATTATACCTTAGATAAATAGTCACCCTTCCTATTGATACCAGTAAGTAATTATACCTTAACTAAACGTGCTAGCTCCGTAACTACGGTTTCCTCTGTCTTTCCTCCTACTTTCAATGCTTCAAAAGCCTCTGACCATTGGTCATCATACACTAAGGAAAACTTCTCTCCAATTTTAGTTGGTCGATTTTTATCACTTAGGTCAGCTATATTTGGGTTTCCCTGTGTTAATTGTTGACTTGCATATCTGCTTAATCTGCAGAATTTTGCTGATATTTAATGACAACCAAATACAAGAACACTAATTTGTTCTTGCTGTAATATACATAAGGGAATATGTATCATTTTAACTTTTTAGTCATCAGATCCTACCTATAATGGTTATTACCTTGTTGTAAGTTCTTCAGTTTGTTGCTTTTGTTCTCGTACTGTTTCTCTGAGTTTTTCGTTTTCTTCCATAAGTTTAATATGTTCAATTTCTTCTCTGAATTGTTGCTTTTGTTGTTGTGTCTCACCATTTTCAATTGTCTGAGATCTAATGCGTTGACTTGGTCCTTTATTATTTCCATTGCCTACAAGTCCTGAGCTTTGTCTCTGAACGTAAAAATTTTTATATATCAGTTATTTAAACAAAACAGACTAGGTCAATCATAGCCCTTAACAACATGACAAGTCAATAAACGTAAACATCATTAATTTATTGTTGTGCATAGTGTACATGTAAATAAAGTTTTCTTTTGCTTCTGATATCAGGATCTAATGTTGACCAATGCTGTAGTAGGTTTGAGGCGTTCTATAACTATTGTATTTTAAACAAATATGTAATTGTATCAGGCCCTAGTTGCAATTCCTTTTATGATGTTGATTTATCTTTGGAAAAAGCTAACTTAACTTTGCAAAAATAAACCCCGTTCTCAAAAACATATTCAGTATTTACAATATTAAAATTCTTTCTTTAGGTGCATGTACTGAAAGAGAAAATAACAGTCGCATCAAACGTTGTATTGAATGTACACATGTACATGTAAGTACTTCAAAAGGTGAACCATAACGATCCTTAGGAGTAAAATACTTGCATGGAATTATGCATTCATCTTTTATACACTGTATATGTATTTGAATTTATTACTATTATTTGCAGATAAATAATGGATCATTTTATATGTCATACCATATTTGATGAGAAGAAATTGGAACTCCTTGGTTGGCCTTGTTTGAGGCTTACCGTTGATGCCTGCATTTAACGTTGGATTTTAATTGTTTTATTCAGCTGGTGCATTGAAATTATCAGAAAAAGCCTTACAATACATTTAATGTTAGTAATCTAATCTTTCATGGCATAAATGTATAAATGGATAACAATTTTTAAAGCATATGAAAAGGATATTTAACCCTTTTGCTGCCGTACATATTTCCAGTTCAAATTACGTACAGTGCCGTGACAGTTTTCTATTACGTTGAATCTATGATGTAACATAACTGTGACGTCACAAACAATGTAGGTAACTTAGGTATTTTAAAATGGGTTTTCGCCTCTGCAGAAAATCGTTAAAATAGAGACATTATAAAAGAACAAATTCTACAACGACAGTCCTCTCCGAAAAAAAAATACATTTACAGAACACACAAAATTTTTGCTCAAATAATATTTTTAGTAGATTAGGTAGAGGGTTATATTTTTTTTAAATAAGAACAATATGTAACGTCAAGTACCCGTGGTTCAAGTATATACTGCATAATATAATGATCGCAACACGAGTAAAGTAAAAAATATACAAATGCAGTGTAATTGAAACACAGTGATTCATAAAGAACTACTTATAAGTTTTAGGGATCTACATGTACCAGTGAAAGTACGTGTGTTCTTAAACATGGAAATTCTATCGGACTTGAAAACGGTTAATTTTGGTTCGTACACCTTAAACATATTTTTGAACGTAGATCGACCTTACATATTATCACATGCACCAGGCCCGTAGCAAGAGTTTTGAAAGTCAGGGGGGATCTTCATCTGACAAGCCCCCCCCCCCCCCCCGAAAAAAAACATTGTTCTGAACGCAAAAATCCTATGTCGTATGTTTGGGGGTGGGGTGGTTCTTACTTTTTTTGGTGCACATTAAAAAAATCATTGAATTCGCCAGTGCTTGACCTTACAGCAAAAAAGGGATGTGGGGCAGCATCAAATAAAGATTTAATATTAAAAAATTTAACTCAGAAAAAAGTGGGGTCCCCCCCCCCCGCGCGTTATACGGGTCTGTGCACACTCACACCTTTCCCTGAACCATTTGTATTGTTTTAAATTATTATTATTTTATATTTGTTCAAACGTTTATATGTTGATCTTTTCCTGTCACATTTTGTAATCGTGTTATAAATAATAACCTGTAATACACCGAATAAGACGTACGTTACTTCCAATAGTAAGTTTTCTTCGTCCTTACCACCCTTGAACGGCAACTCGGATGCAATCTGTGGATTGTTTGAGTCAATCAAATGAAAAGACTTTGATTTATTAAAACTTATTTTGTCCTTTATTGTGATTTTATTACAACATTTTTCTACAGTGTTTATGACTTGAATCACAGGCATTTGTTTCTGTAATAATTTTTTGACCCATGGTGTAATAATGTTATTTTTATGCTATGGGTTAAAAAAATAAAGAAACAAGTGCCAGTGCTTTGAATTTGGTGCAAGATATATAAACACCTTCAAGGTCCTTAAAAAATTAAGAAGCATTTCATTTGTTAAAACTAAATATTCCGTCAACATGTAACTTACAATGTGCGTCTACATGTACATGTAAGTAGAAATTGACCTTAAAAAGTATAAAAGTTTTCATATATTTTTAAAACAGAGTACACGATCATGCCAAACATTTTGCCGATCGGCATCACTTAATGTGCGATCCTACAACTGAAATAACATGGTTGATAAATAAAGGACAAGGTTACTATGTATATATAAGTATATTATGATTTTTCAAAATTACAACGGAGAGGTGAGGAACATTTGAGCAAAGGGAAACGTTAATTGACATATCTAATTCATTAGAAATGCCACGCACAGCTGTTAGAAAATGAAGAAATATATTACTACTAGTTTAAGTTACGTTGAGAGGAAATCAAGATATTAGGGGTATTTGCCTGGGGTGGGGGGTGGTACTTGCCCCAATTTCGACCGACAAGATATTTTGCCTACCCTCTGATTGTAAATACCTACCACAATTCTTGCATTAATTTAATCACGAGAAGCATGCGAAAAAAGTATGACCCAGCTAATACCCCCCCCCCCTCCCCCGGCAGTTAAAATCAATAATTCGTGCCTAAAAGAAACGTATCGGTCATTTGAACAAACAGAATGAATGGAATTAATTGGATGGGGACATATAAACATGCAGAGGTTCTATGTCACAGTTGTTTCTTGCAGAAATAAGAGCCGTAATTGCTCAATGGACATAAGCAATCTTCTCCGGCAATTGGCGATGTCATGCACTGACTACATGTATTCCAGAATAGAAGGTTTATCTGTGAAGTTCCTTGTATCTTTGCCGAATTTCTTTGATTATGTGACATGTAATCTGTTGTAATCTGCATTTCTCTGTATAAAATAAACTCTTTGTTATGCTCCTGAGGTTAAAACTTTTTAAAATCGGTCAAATGGCTCTTCAAGGCTTAAATGTTACATTGTTAAACTGTATACTATACAATGCCGGTTTAAGATAAAAAAAAAATATTTACAAAAATTACAATATGATATTGCATTACTAGTATTTTCACGATCAAAACACTAAGTTCTTGTAGGTGATGGTAAATTATTCTCGTGTTTCATTGGAACTTTGATTGCTTGTATAGTTCAGACTAGGATTTAAATCTTGAAAAATTGCTTAATTTCAAATCAGAATGCATTGTTTACATTTTCTAAAGATCAAGACAAATGATTGATTGATTGATTATTATTGTTTAACGCCAAGTCGGCAATATTTCAGCCATATTTCGGCGATCAAATTAAGTGTATTTGCCCATTTATGAAGTTTTAGGATTCTCTGGCGGCCCAAGTGAGCCTACTCTTTTTCGAAAACCAGAGAAACGATCTTTTATGTGCCATGGGGGTTGTTATCCTTGACACGGGGCACCATTTAACGTCCCATCCGATGGACTCAAAAATTTAAAAGTATGTAAACAGTTAAAATATATATACAAAATTCTTAAGTTATATCATTTTAAATTTTGCAGTAAAAATTAGTTTCATGTAAAAATTCTAAAATTGTATAAACATTTATATTTGTAAAAAGTTCATGCATCGTTTGCACATTTTTAAAAAGTCTACTTCGAGAAGGAGAAAAATCGGTACATTCCAAAAGAATATGACTGATAGTTAACGGACATTCGCATGATATACATTCTGGTTGCAATTCTCGAGTGAGTAAATATTCATTTGTTATTTTTGAATGACCAATATGTATTCTAGAAATAATCACTTCGTTTTGACGTTTCATGCCGAAATCAGATGATTTGTTGACTTTGTTTTCTATAGCATAAAGCTTACTTGCATCACAAAATTCCCAATAAATCAAGACAAATGAAATACCCATTTAAAATTCCTTTTCTTTCAGATAATTTTCCAGTAAAAGAATGGTAAAATGATTGATTGTTTTCTTTAACAAGAGGCCAAAATGGCGCGAAACTCCGAATGATGACGGAACGTCATAATCAGTTTTACCTGTGACGTAATGAGTTAACAGTAGGCCCAAAATAGGCCCATGGCACTTAACGTAGTTTTTGAAAATAGGCCCAAAATAGGCCCGCGGCACAAAGAATGTTAATTGCAATGTCGAGTGCAATTATTTCTTAAAACCACGTACCTTTCCTGCGTTAGTTGGTTTTCTTTGCCTTGCAGAGTTAACAACAGATCTGTTATTCTACATATTTACACAATAAATTTATTGTTATATGGGTTAAATTTAGATAAATCATAATTTGTTTTTTTCTTATCTTTATTACTTTATTCAAGAAATAAGGTATCATTTTTAAACATCTATCGGGATATAAATACGAGTTGGTCACGAGATCAAATTCTATAAAGCCCGAAGGGCTTTATGGTAAATTTCATCTCGAACCAACCCATATTTATAGCCCGATAGATGTTTTAAAATGATACCTTATTACTTATATTTACATTTGTGACTTATTCATATTATATATTTGCCTGATTATAATCTTTAACGCGTGAAACGTTTTATTTTTCAAACCTAACGGCACGTGTTTGATCCTCTGATTGCGCGTCGACCCTTTATGACGTCACTGAGAAATTACGTCGAACGTTTATGACGAGAGGAACCCGTGTTTATACGGATATAGATACGCGTTGCTTTTAATAGTGTTATAGAAAAGAAAACATTTGCAAATGTAAATATAGAAAATTAACATCCTTCAAAAAGATTGCCGAATAACTAAATCAATTTAGATCTAATGTAGATAATGATATTTTGATTTACATGTACGTTTAATTGAACACCTTTACTTTACATCACATTTGTTGAGAGAACATGAACTAACCTTAGCAGGTGAAGATTCTAACTTGTGCTTTCGACATTCCAATAACAGTGCATAACTTTTCCATACATCTATTTCTTTGTTTTGAGATACTAAAAAGTCATGTAGACTGCCGAAGTCTTTGGGTTTCTCCAGCCTTAAATGCAAACTTCCTGGCATTTTTTCTATTCTAGTCTTCATTTCTTCGTGCTGTTGAAAAGTTTGAATATTTCGAATACGATTTAAAGAATGCTTCTTGGAGAAGACATGTATAGGCAACGCCTGATGTCCAATCCAGTTATGTAATTGACTTAACATAATAAAATACTGATTAAATTAAATTAATTCGATTTAAAAAAAATACATGTGCATTGCATTTTTTAAAAAAATTATAATAAGAAAAAACAACAACAAAACAAGTTTCTTGATCCGTTCAAACATGCCATGTTAAGATCACATAAATTTATATATTAATTGCAATATGTTCAAACCAGAGAGATCGGAGAGCTACTGTGCCATCCATAGAAAAAAAATGTAATATATTTATTGCGCAAAAAAAGTTGCTCCCGGTTCTATGTTACTTCCCCAAATTCTTCACAAACGCTTGATTTAGTATTGGACCCCTGTAATTGACATCTGCACAAGGCGCGCTGGACCGAATTGTCTTGCCACCCAAAATAGCAGTATAAATGGGCGAAATTTTGGATGGTCTTAATTCAACGTCCAGGAGGGCTATCAACAACGATTATGGGAAATGTTTTGATGTGTAAAAGAATATGTTAGGAACACACGGTAAGTAATATTTTAAGATGGCAACTTAAATATAAGGAGAAACAGTGCACTTTATATAGAATTTTTACAATGGGAGGCACTGTCTCTGGTCGTCCATCCCAATTTTTTCAGACTAGCGAGGTACAGATCTGCAGCTAATTCCATACCACAGTATACTTACAACATCTGGATTGCTTTCCTTCAGCAGTGTAGCGTGATTTGCGAGGTCTTCGTATTCCTGTTTAGCTTTCTTTATTAGCTGTTGATGAACACCTTTTTTATTATGAAGCCTCTCTGCTTCCTCGAGGACGGATTTTATCGTTTTTCTACTCCTTGGCATATTCACTTGAAAACAAAAGTACATGCACCTTTTTACCAATAAGCAATTCACGTATGCATTTTAGAAAATACTTTGCTTGTGCATAACTGTATATGTATATATACGCATGAAGCATTCTATGGCATATAATGATTTCACAAAAAATTTAATAAAATAAACTGATTGATTCTCGATTGCTTAATGCTTAATACCGTTGAAAACAGAAGTCAAATAGATTGAATAGCTTAATAAATTCGTAAATCTGTATTCAGTAGAGAAAGATAATGGGCATTTTGTAAAATTTGCAACTAACAGTGACTAAAGCTTAATACTTTACATCTAGTTATATAATAGAAGTTAGTGAAATGCTTTGCCATTGACGACTTTATATTCATTTACAATAAAAAAGAACATGGATATAAGGACCTTAGGTAAAATATCGTTATTTTGTTTACCTTCAAATAATGATAGGTATACTGTGCGAAATTCCAGCTAGGACGCCATTTGTAAACAAAAATCAAACCGAAAGTAGATAACCATACTGTACTATAAAAATCTGCGTAGCTGAAAATAAGGTTAAGATTGAAAGATGCATATTTGAAGCTTTTTTAAAAAAAAGTAAGATTTTAATTAATTTCATACTTGCTTGCATTTGGATATTAAATGTTATTTCTCTCATATATATTCCACATCAACTGTTTCAAACTTGACTTAAACATTTTTTGGACAAGAAAAAAAAACAAAGAAGAAAACCTAAACAACTTGCCCAAACCTGGAAATCCTATTTCGGGGAGGGGGAGGGTAGTAAGAGACATTTTCTTCTAAAACGTGACTCTCCCCCGACCCCTCTGTATAGATCCGCCAATATAATTGGTAAAAGCATAGACCTAAAGCATTGCTTTAGGTCTATGGTAAAATTGATTAAGTTATAGCCAAGTGACATTGAAATCAGAAAAGTTTTATTTTGATTCGTATTATGTCTAAATGTATTTGATAGAGTTCCATGACTTCCAAGTTGAATTGTTCTCTATGCTTGTTGAATTGTTCTTTATATCTCTTGTAGAATGGCGGACAAACAAAAACTAGGTATTAAAGTCCTTGTAGCTGCAATTGACTTTGGTACAACGTACTCGGGCTATGCCTTCTCTTTCAAAGATGAATACGAAAAGGATCCCACGAAAATCATGGCCAATACAACATGGGTGGCTGGACACAAGAATTTATTTTCTCAGAAAACCCCTACGTGTCTTTTGCTGAAATCTGACCAAAGTTTTCATTCGTTTGGATACGAGGCTGAAGATACATACACTGATCTTGCCAATAAAGAAAAACATCATTCATGGTACTTCTTTCGGAGGTTCAAAATGATGTTACATAATAATATGGTGAGGAAATTATAATATTAGGAATATATATTCTAGTTGTTTTTTTAAATTTATAACATGTATAAGACAAATTTTACATAATACGAGGGTTGTCCCAAAATTCCGTAGACAAGCGTCGTTTTGTAGTAACCCAGTGTCATAAACTAATGAAACTTTCAAAATAACTAAAACTACTAACAACTAATATTTTTAGTGTAAAACATTGCGTAATTACACACATTTATCCTTTTTAAATGAAATAATTCAATGTCTGATGTAAAGAGGCGGCGCAATCTCAAAACTTGCTACTAAAAATCGGTATATAAAATGTGAAATCTTGCAAAAAAGAAATTTCTTGTCCAAATTTCGTGGGATAAAAATGATAGTTTCTCAAATTACATAAATAACTATCTTTATTCCAATTTTAACGCATATGCCTTCATTAATAAGAATGTTTTAACGTTTATTTGCACTGGCTAGACGCTTGACTGTGTAAAAAAAATGACGCCGCATTGACACAGGCGGCGCAATGGAATAGGATAAATTGTAGATCGGAACTTTAATAGAGGTGCATGAGAAGAAACAAATGTTTGGAACACATAGATATACTCAAGTATGTATTATTTGAATGACATAAGAAGTTTTTCAAGGTATATATGGAAAACGAAGCAAATAAAGAGACCAGCCGAAAGAAATAGACAAAGAAATCGTCGTCAAAGCTACACAGTGCAGAAAGACGAACAAAAAGTCCCTCGGAGATAATGAGATTTTTATAAATTATTAATAGATGCATGCAATTTAAACTTTTTGGGCGTATATTTTAATGTTAAGTACATCATAACAATTATAATATTTCATATTTATTTCACAAATCTTTATGTTAAAGTAGAAAATGTGATTCTGATAAGTAATGCATTTTCCCAAAAAATTCGTACCGGTGACGTTTACGTACTTTTTGACGTCGAAGATTGCGCCGGGTGGTAGGACACGGTAACATTAAAATTCCAATTAAACGTACGTTTTTCAAGTAATGATGTTAAAATTTCGTAATTTATCAGCTAAAAACGCACTTTATACACCCACAAAATTATGTAAAGATACCATGATTTCTGCAATAGATATGAACTCAGTTTACGGAATTTGGGGACAACCCTCGTAATGATTTTTTTACAGGATGAAAAAAAACAGCCTAAATTTTAATAATCATGTACAGGTCAAACGAAATTATTTTTTGCATTTAGAGATGTTTCTTTGTAATTACGAATTAGACTTTGAACCGCGAAACAGTAATAGCAGACGACAGCGGCCAAAAAAAGCTCCCCGCCATGACAGTCTTTGCCCACAGCATACGGTATCTGAAAGATCACCTTCTAACCCATCTTAAAGTCAAAGGATTGGACGCCTTGGTCGAAGAAGATGATTGCATTCACTGGGTTTTGACAATACCCGCAATATGGAACGATAAATCTAAACAGTTTATGAGGGAGGCGGCAAAAGAGGTATGCTTGAAATTGTTTATTGTCAGATCATATTTCTTATAAAACGCATGAAAATAAATGATATATCTATTCTGTACCAAAATATAAGTTCAAATTAAAGAAATTGTTAATGAATATATCGTCTCTAAAACACCAGGCAGGTATTGAGAGCGAGAATTTAAGCCTCGCACTGGAGCCGGAAGCGGCAGCTTTATATTGCAGAATGCTACCACTAGAGAGACTCTCCACAGCAAGTTCTACAAATCTCTCCATGTTTCAACCCGGAACTCGCTATATGGTGTTGGATTTGGGAGGTAAGACTTACCAAGATATGTAAAATACACCATTTTTACAAGTTAAATTTATGATTCACAATTTGTTTGCAATGTTCTTGAAAAATTCTTTGTTCTGTTCATTTAACTGATAATTTTTTTATACACATCGAAACGTACAATATTAACAAACTGACGAAACACAAGTTTGTGTGTGTTTAAGGGATTAAGTGATGGAATCCGGGGAAAGGGGGGGGGGGGGCAGACTCATCAGCGCATGTCACGTTGTGTAACAAATTAAAGAAAAGGAAATAAACTTTCCAACAATGACACGTGTCATTACCAAAACCATAACTTCGGAAGGAACTGTAATACAAAATAATGATGTATTGCCTGGAAAAAAGACCCTAATTAATCTGATTTTCTTTGTGACGTCATATTTCTTAAAAAAAATACGCATGAAAGTAAACCTCACATTAGCAAGTTTGGTCATCTATGGTATAATATTTTGTAAGAATCTCATTTTATTTAAAAAGATCCATAACTGGATCCAAAATCTTATGCCCAGTCACATTTATCAAGCTATTTTTCTACGTTTTCAGTTATACGATATCAAGGTAAGAGGAATTGAAAGTGGTAAATCTTTAATTAAACATAAGTTTATATTAGAGAAGCTATGATGGCATATTTATGCAATCCACATAATTTTTGTAATGATAACATCAGATAAATCTTCACATCAAAAGTGATTATGATCAAGACCCTGAATTACAGTAAATTAGTAAATTGTATAAAAAAAAAAAAATGTTTATTATCTGTAGGTCACAGAGATGATCTTTCTGTTAACCATCGTTCGTTGGTCGCTTACTTTTGAACATTTTTAGCTTCTTTGGAACCACTGAACCATTTTCATAAAATGTTGCTATATACCATCTAATGGGGAACAAAAACAGTAAATTTCATGATCTCTTCTTTGTGCCTAAGAGGTGGAGCCAAATGCAATACACGTATTTAAAATCTTCTTTGCTCTTGGAATCAAGTGTGAAGCATGATTATAATTTACAAGAAGTAAGCACTACCAAAATTATGAAAATCATGAAGGGTCAATGATTGAGGGTTCAACATGCAGGGTGGAGTTAACTTGATCACATATTAAAAATACATTATTTATTAGAAAATCTTAATTATAATAAGTGCTCAACCTCTACCATACATGTAATTGTAAAATTCTTGGCCACGGGGTCAATTCTTCAGACTGTGGGGTGGGGCTTAATTGGTTGAATATTAAAAATCATTACATCTTTGTTCTCTACGCGCTCATGCTCATTAAGCAGGCAAACTGTTTCCAAGATTATAATAATACTAAGCCCTCGGCCAAAATTGGAAAAAACATGGTTCATAGTCCCTAGTTTAAGCATCAGGGTGGGGCTTAATTGGTCATGCATTTGAAATACACTACAATTTATTTTCTCGTGTTTGCATGTTATCCATAGCCAGAATTGTAAATTCATAGCTCTTTGGTTCAGTGTTCAGACTCCTGGGATGAGTTTTCAATATATTTGGTTATATACTGAAAAGAAAAAGAAGCGCAGGGTTACATAATATGCGAAAATTGATCATGTCCATTCTATCAAAGAAACACACTCAGCTAGTGTCAGACTTGAATTATCGTTTACTCTCAATATTACAAAAAGCTATGTCCATTAATGACCATTATATTTTCCTCAGTTTGGGTGTCCGATGCTCTACCGGCCACATCCAACTCGGTTAAGACCTAATTTTGACTTATTAAAGCTATATATGGCGTATCTGAGCCAAAAAATAAAAATACGAGATTGAGTGAAGATAACCATGATATTTGTTTTAAATTGTGTCTGTTATTTAAATGCAGAGTCGGTAAATAAATC